AGTTAGAATATCACGTGAGACATAATCGGACATCATATAGTTAGAATATCACGTGAGACATAAACGGGACATCATATAGTTAGAATATCACGTGAGACATAATCGGACATCATATAGATAGAATATCACTTGATACATAATCGAGACATCATATTGATAGAATATCACTTGATACATAATCGGGACATCATATAGATAGAATATCACGTGAGACATAAATGGGACATCATATAGTTAGAATATCACGTGAGACATAATCGGGACATCATATAGTAAGAATATCACGTGAGACATAATCGAGACATCATATAGATAGAATATCACGTGAGACATAATCGGACATCATATAGTTAGAATACCACTTGATACATAATCGGACATCATATAGTTAGAATATCACGTGAGACATAATCGGGACATCATATAGTAAGAATATCACGTGAGACATAATCGAGACATCATATAGATAGAATATCACGTGAGACATAATCGGACATCATATAGTTAGAATACCACTTGATACATATTCGGACATCATATAGTTAGAATATCACTTGAGATATAATCGGGACATCATATATATAAAATATCACGTGAGACATAATCGGACATCATATAGATAGAATATCGCTTGAGATATAATCGGGACATCATATAGTTAGAATATCAATTGATACATAATTGGACATCATATAGTTAGAATATCACGTGAGACATAATCGGGGCATCATATAGTTAGAATATCACTTGATACATAATCAGACATCATATCGTTAGAATATCACTTGATACATAATCGGACATCATATCGTTACAATATCACGTGAGATATAATCTGGACATCGTTACAATATCACGTGAGATATAATCTGGACATCATATAGTAATAATCTCATTTTGGGACATTTATTCTAATTTGGAAAAGGGGATTTCTGGAAAACGTATTCATTGCCCTCGACAGAGTAAACGACTTTTATCGTCGGAAGGAAATTACTATTTTTTCTGTATCTTACACAATTTCCATTTCTCCGCGGTTATAGCTGCAGTTACCATATAGTAGTTTACCAGTATATATACATGTAAGGGTGTATTTTTCATAACCCAACCTGCTATAAATATATATCTTAAACATTGTTCTGGCAAAAGACCAATTTAACTGCTTCCTGCCACTTATATCTCATAAGAACTTGTGTTATATCACATGCATAAGTTTTAACTTAAAAGTTATTTTTAAAGATCTGCATCCGAGTCGTCGGAAAATGGGTTGAAGTGTTATTTCCTTTCCTATTTACTGTCATTGTAGTATGAAGTCACAATAAGATTATAACAAAGACACATTGAGCTAAATAATCACATGTCAGTCATAGTAATTAAAATGATATATATAATGTTCATATGTTGATATTTTCTTCATACATTTGAAAACAAACACCAAAGCTTACAACCCACGATGGTTGCATCTATCTATGTTTATTGATGGTTATTAGTCTTGCGTATCAGTGCATGTCTTGTCATATCTTACACCAGGCTGTAAATGTGTGATGATTTCTTACAGTCCTATACATTATAAAGCCTGTTTGAATGTATAGGGACCTGTAAAACACGAAGACGTAACATTACGTGATATATGACGAAAGCGTCATTTAATCATTTGTTGTTGGAACCATTTCTTTATCATAGCATGTTCGAAAGTTTCTTCCTGATGACAGACGAAAAGATATGTAACTTCATTATGAATTAATAGCAGTCAAAAAGATTTCCTCTGATAATTTTAGATGTGTGCAATATAACTGATAATTATTTCAGCAGCATCATCACGATTACTAGTTCAACATGGTATTAAAGATACTGCATCTTTTCTCTGATAGCAATACAACGTAAAATTAATAGATCTAATTCATCTAAGCAATGATAGCTGATTTTATTAATTTCAAACTTGATACAAATCAGACATACTTCTATGGTATATAATGTCCACGTTTATGACTGTTTTATATAGCATATTATGATTTCAAAGCATGTCGCATGGTTGAACGTATTAAACATCCCAAATAGCCTCATTTGTTCTTCTGCCAATACCCTGGTTGAAAAATAGATTATATGTCGAAAACAAATTTTATTGAACTTGTTTTCAAGGATCGATCCTATTTTCGGGGTATCCTTGGAAAACCTATTTTACTACGAAGGAAAAATCATGAATCATAAATTAGCCATTTAAGTCAAGTCACCCCTCCTGTGTAGGGAAACTCGAGATGTTCACACGTGGGCTTATTTGCCGAGTTTGGCAATCCCAAACTGTACAATGACAATCATATTTTCAAATGCTTTAGCAAATTGTGGATTACCTTTCCTATTAAAATATGCACAATGCAATGCTGCATTTGTATGTTTATCAGTTATATGTTTAATTGTGTTTGTGAAATACATTTAAAGTCACTATACGGTGATCATACTAATGTCTCCTCTTGCTCAACTTCTAAAATCTGTGCTATCCGCGGGATGTTCATGTAAAGATTCTATGAACATTATCATTTATAGTATTATGTCATAATCGTTCTTAGAGATCACACAGAAAAAAAAAAAAAAAAAAAAAAGCGAGAAAATAGCAAAACAATTATTTTACATTTCTCAAAAAATAATTTAAGACAAATACAATATGTTACCTACAACTGAGCGAGAGCAGGGTTTCTCAGTCGAGGGCTAAGACCATGTAGCATAATCCCAACCGCGGCGTTAGCCAGGTTAGGATGTTTCATGATCTTAGCTGGAGACTGAGATAGCCCGATCTCGCTGAGTTACAGTAAAAGATTTATTTCTCGCACGTACTGCTCTGAAAATTATTCGATATTTTATCAGAGTTTGGCATATCTTGTAGGAGCCTCAAACTACCCACACAGCCTCTTCACTTTTAAGTAACGTTTAGATACTGCCATGCAAACAATGTAGGCAGCACTTACAAAAAATACAACACATGTTACAGTGATGATTTTACCATTTACCATTAAATGAATACAATGAACGTGAACAATCTAAACAAAAGTTTTTACCCCACAGCCCGAATGGGCTTGAATTTGCATTCCGCACATTATCTCTAGAACGACATCACCGGCGATCACCATTTTCGCTGGGCATGTTGGGTCTATGGACCTTAACAACCCTATTGTTTTTCGTCGTCGCCCGATATCCAATATGGCGGTTACGGCCACCATCTTGAATTTGCATTGCGCTCATTATCTAAAGAACGACATCACCAGCGATCACCATTTTCGCTGGGCACGTTAGGCCTATGGACCTACACAGCCTATTGAGGTTCTTCTCAATCTCAGCCCTGCACCCAACTTTATCATAAGGCTGTGGGGTAATGCCCGCGTTTGCGGGGCTATATTTTATGTCTTCAACGCCTCAGGCTTACTCCATGACGGTACTTATTGCATATTAAAAACAACAAATGAATTAGTCAAAGAATATCGATATATTTTGAAGCAACATGGACAATATTAGAAATTTACTTTGTAATAGAACTGTCAAACATAACAGACTTGAAGCTATTCGCTTGAAAATGGACGAGAATTTATTTAATTAGCAACACGTGATGAGATCTAGGATGATATTGAAATATTTTATAAATCAAACTGGTTTACATAGTATGTATATTTCTTTGCATAAAGCATGCGTTTAATACATGACTGAAACATGGGCATATATACTTATTTTCTCCCATTATTGTAAACGGTTTTATACAGCAGAATAGAAATCGTAATATATCTCGTTTATACTTGTCATCAGTACTAGATTTTGCTTTTTAATTTGATAGATTTCCTCTTTACATAAAGTATGTATCAAGCTTAGAAATATGATTAATTCTGATGTGTAAAACAAGTGGTATTTCTATATGTAGTAAGTTCTTCGCTTCCATTAATCGTAGTGATGTAGCTCCTAGGTATAATTTTCCTGTAAACTAGTTGATGTGTCCTTAGATCAAAATTGAAATCCGTCTATATCATTAGTAAGTCTATGGGGAAAACAGGCGAGTTAAAACAAGGCAGACCTCGCGTGATATCACTGGTACTCATTATCATTCACATGGTATTTCAACAAATTCCCTGATATGTTTTCAATAAAGAACTTTTGAGTTTTTCTTTCACATTGTACACTGTCATACCTTTTTTCCAAACTGACAGAACACCTTTGTTGATTGGCTGTAAGAACTTTCTTTTCAATAGTAGCGAGAAAAAAGTATACCCATAATCCAAACTCAAATTCAATAACCTTAAGGCAAAATATGAACCAAGAAAAGATTGACACGGAGACTCCTGAAAACGAATAAGGAGAGGAAAAAAACCCAGATGTTCCGGAAGAGTAACCGTCTTAAATCTCGGTCAATCCAAGTAAGCAATGTCACGTTTTATAAGGTGAACAAGGTATATATATAACACAAGAGAACCAACATGCAAACTAACATCAAGCATGCCCATCTTCATATCGCACCAAGGAAAAATCTCAGTGAGATCACTATGACGACCGTTACACGTCCCCATAATTTTCGACAACCTGCTTATGGAACTATTATACTGTCATAGCGCCGTTAATTTTTCCTGATTACAGGTTAATAGCTGAACATTGTTTACATTGCATTCAAGATATTGCACTTTTTCACAAAAAAACCAATGCAACATATAACAAATCTAATTCATCTATGCAATGCTGATTGGTTTTATTACCTACAAAACTGATACAAGTCGGAAATACATAAGTGACATATAACTGTGATTGTTTTAATAATTTTATGAAGTATTATATAATTTTAATAACTGAATGATAGTTCAAATCATGTAACATTTAATAAGTATTCATTTGTTCATGTTCCTGGTTAAAACATAAGTAATACGCTGAAAACAAATATACTTGAGCTTGATCTCAGAGCATGCTCCTATATTTGGAGAGCTTTGTTTTAAACATGGATGTTTAAATCCTTTTCCTGCAATCGTATAGTTCGAATTTCACTCGTAAACCAAGTCGATGTTACCAGCCAGATCACTCATCTTATCCTTGTAGACCTTATCAAATCTTTCGTTCTGCGCTACTGTGAGCATGTTCTTCCATTCTCCAATGACCCCTGTATTAGAAGTAACAAAACAGAAATTATGTACATATAATTTTGTTATACTGGTATTGAATGACATTAACATATACCCATCTGTGATATCGTGTACCATTATATCACGCTACTTAACTGTGTTTCTACAGTCAGGGTATAATTACGAGGCCACTGACACTCGGTAATAGGATAATTAAATGAAGCCTATTCAGTAGACTAGAAGTATTAGATTTCCCACAGAGATTGCTGCTTCCATTATTCATTGCACACATAAAATAAGGATTTATGAAACAACTATAAGAAAGGCTGGACTCATTAAAAGGTAGTGTAACAAGTGACTTTATTTATGCATGAGTAAGCTTGTGCATGACTTAAAATGGGGGAAGGCTGTAGGCAGAAAGGGTTTTACACCAAGCATTGCAGTAGGAAAACAATTATCAGTTGCGTTGCTGCTAGTTTACGTCTCCTAATCTGTGTAGTGGTTATCATATTTTCAAATATTTGTGGCAAATTTTTTATTTGCTTTTCCATTTGAATATGGATAATAACATCATGTTGTTTTTATTAATGTTTTTCTTAATCATGAGTAAAGCATGATATGTTTGTGACGGCATGGAAAGGCACCATGCCATGATCATATTCATTCACACAATTCTGCAATTGTTGATTGGATAGTAAGTATGAAGCAGGGTGTTATCAAGGTTTACGTGCTATCAGCACTATTAAATTAATACAATGATAGAATATTCTGTTAAATTTCATTACAAACGTCATCAAGACATCCCACATGATACAAATGCCTTCGCGATTCAAATTTCTGCGACTAAGTAAGAGTATATGGAAACCTAGACGGGTTCACAAACATCACCTCTTGTAAGAGTTCGCATTTGTACCTTTTGCAGTACAGGTGTTGGTTACGGTTACTAGTACATCCACGAGGCCATCATTTGTTTACCATGGCAACCAAATGGGAACCATTTTCTTTTTATCGAAAACATTAAGACAACACGGAAAAGATATGTTTTAATCATGGGCATTATGTGGTTATTATAGCAACCAAATGATATCGGATGTTTTCAGCACAGTCGGAAAATATCAGAATCAGAAGCACATATCAAGTTTTCATAGAAACGGTGCTGGAAAAATACAGAAATTGTTTCAATGAAATTGATCAAATTATTGATGAGTTATGTCCATTAAATAAAAACTTGTTACCACATTACCATAGCAACTTACATTTCTGCTACAAAAATCCCGCATGCAAATCTGCACAATGAACCCAAAAGTTGTTGTATAGTTTCATTGAAATCGGTTCACAGGTATAAGAGGAGTTGTATGGACATGTTTTCCCCTACTGACAGACAAGCTGAACCCAGTATACCCCTCCTCCCTACAATTTCGTCGCGTAAGGGAGGGAGTATAAAATTATTATCGAAGGTTAAAACTTTGTGAACACGTGTGAAGTTTGGCTCGAATCGGAGAAGCAATAGAGCCTTTAGGGTAATGACGTGAACATTTTTGTTAACATTGACTTAGTATTTGACAATAAACAGTTTGAGGTCAAACTGGTATAGGACGCGATGTTCGTGACCATGCGAGAATTTTTGTACCAATCGGTTCAGTAATGAATCCTGTAGAGAGGTGACATGAACATGTCTCTTGATTTCCATTCATAGTAACAATGACTGTGCGTTTGACAACACAAGGTTAGAAGTTGAACTGATAGAAGAAATGATACGTATGTACGAGCGTGAGGGGGTATTACTGTATACTCTCGACAGATGTTCGCGAGAGTATAAGTACAAATCTTAAGTGTCACAGGAAACAGCTTTGGAAACGGTCGAGCGGCTGTTTTTACAGTATTTTCAGTGTTTTCACCATTGGACCTAATAGCTGTCGAGTAGTCATCAACCATTACTTTTGTTAAGGATGTTGACAAATAACAAATTAATTTGCCACAATTAGACTTAAAACGATGACACATTAAGGGTCGTCTCCATTTTCATTGGGAATATTCAATTCCCCTATGCGATATGAAGTAAGGTGATGTTGATGACAGTTGCCAAGCATGTGGAATCTTATTCTCTTTTGTAACCGCGGCATTATTTAATTGGATTCGAAATTACAAATATTTTTTTTCAAATAAGGTTCAAACGTTGATTTAATTACTTATTTTGTCATGAAACCATTGTTCAACGTTTTGTTTTTTTGCTTCCATGTTTTTGATAAAAAGGGAGATCGCCTTAAAAGTTAAATATCTTCTATACTACCTTTCTTATATATAGGCATTCGTCCGTTGTCTCCAAGATGTCTCCATAACTCACTTTCACCAGCAGTCGTTGTATGTTCTTTCTTCAGATTGTCAAATCCAACAGCTTGTTCTACCTTTTTCAAGAAGCTTTCCTCATGATCAACTTCCAAAAATGTAGCAATCCGAAGGATATTCTGGTAGAGATTCTATAAAAGCATGTGTGTCTTATAGTTTTAAGGTCCTAAGACTATAAACAAACAGGCATTAATATACAGAACGATTTCAGTTTAAGGCATCATGTGTGTAGTCTGCATTCCCATTTAGACATGATATTTAACCTTTGAAACAGACATATCAACATCAAATTTCAAACATTTTTACACCCATGATGATTTGATTTCATTGCTGACATCTCAAGATACGATTCAAGACAAGTCGGATTTATTGGTATGAAGTTACTTTTACCTTTACTTTATATATGAATCATTATTTGTTTGTTTAAAAAAAACTAATATATATATATATATATATATATATACTTTTATATTTTCTTTACCTTCTTGAGATCTTCATATTTAAGAAACAGTATCTTTAAATGTTGACTTGTTGTCATTGCATTATTCCATTCCTTAGTGTGAGTAAACCATGATCCGCCCGATCCTATAACTTTAGAAAAAAATGGTCATTTGCTAAAGCGGAAAGAAGAATGATGAAATAAATGCATTGTAAAGATTATCATTCATTGTTAGCTTAAAAACTATTCATTGAAATGTAATAGTGAATTATCGCAAAAGATAATGTGTATTTGCGTTTTATTAATTACATTCTTCAGATAAAAAGGCATTCAGATATCCATCCATGTTGCCACTGTAACTGGTATTTTCTACTTTAGACAGAAATGTATAGTATGAACACGCAGCGTCTTTTGGGTTCCGAAGTACGTAGATTATTTTCAGTTGTCCTTTCTTTGCCTCCTCTGGGATGAATGGGTAACTCAGATGTGTATGGAACATTCTTGGGGATTTCATTTCGTCAATTATCTTCATATCCTGGAATTCCATCATCTCTGGTGTTCCTGAGTACTGGAGATTTTTTGTTTGTATCATCCTGGCCATATTGTATACCCAGTGAGTACCTTTGAAATACGTTCAAATATAGTAAGTCAGTACCCAATGTGATAAAGCAGTCTTGTATTGGATACAAATATTGTGATTAAATGGTATCAATACGTTCAAACAAATGAAATGAACAATAATTATGTTTTGCAAGAACAGCATTGATAAAAAATAGAAATTGCTTTCTTAAAGCAGCACATTACTTGAGATGCCGTATACCAGGCACCCCACTCGGCACTCCAGCGGATGTGAAAATGTGTACTAGCAAGACTGAATAAGGAAGGGTTCGGTGGTATTTCGAGAAAGGTCGAATGAAATATTACCTTCAAAATCATCTACTAAAACTAATACGCCTATGTTCGCTATTACCTCATGGGTAAAACATGGGTATGGCCAAGTGACCTGGACTTTCAAAGTTATTCTAACAAATATATTCTATATTCTTAATAGTGTTATCTGGAGACCTGTAAATGATAAGGGTATAATCAGTGACCTTGACTTATACCATGGGCCTTGTTTCATAACTCACAATTTTCAATCCGTTAATATAAGTCAGTTGTGCGCTAAACACTGTAAAGTGCGTACAGGCGGACGATGTATGCACGATGTGCGCACGGAAGTTTTAGCGGACTGTATTACTTAATATGGTAGATGGTATAGCGATAAGCTTGCCTGTCGATAGGGGTCGTAAATTAGTGTAAATTAAATGTGTCACCACTGTGCTATCCTTTGATGACTCAGTACAAATTCTAGAAATTGTACATGTATAATATGAAAGGTAAAATATAAACTAAAAGAAGACTATGGAATACAATGATAAAATATGCAATATCAATCATAACACATTTAATATGAATAACATATATATTGAATAGTGCTACACTTGACATGCCATAAACTCACTAACAACTTATGTACAAGAAATCATGCAGAATTTCATTTTTCCCTCAGTCACTTGTCTAGGTTGACTAGATTATACAGCGATGTAAACAAAAGTATTACCTGATCTTGGAAATGTGCAAAGAAGCACATCATCTGGTCGACACCTAAATGATTCTATCATTTTTAGTTGATCCCCAACATTTCCACGGGTGTCTCTATCGAAGGTTCGTCCTCGCCACCGCTTAAAGACGATGCTATTTCCCAGGTCGTCGACTTTCTCAACACGTTCCATTTTGAAATAGATAATCAAGCAAAACGTTGTTCACATATGGTGTTTCTGAAAAAATATGCCCGTCTAAAAGGTTATATAATACCGGCTTCCTGATACTTCAAAAAATGACAAAAAAGTTTCATTGCGGGACTGTACCTGTGTAACATAAGAACACCTGGGTGCAAAGAACGCACTATGCGTCGCGTAATATGAAGAGGTTTATCTGATTGAACAACAATAAAACAGTATTGTTTGTTGATGGGTTAGTTGACTTGACTGGTAGACGAAAGAATTTACATCTAAATCAATCAATACACGGTTTCCATAATAGCTTTACTTAAGAGATAATATAGTTTTATTTTAGTTTACACAATTTTTGTATTATTTATTAAAAGCAATAATATTGGATAATCTCCAATCTCCTTATAGAAGGCAAAACAATGGCAGGTGGGAGGAGGTATACTTTATTGGGCAGTCAGTCGTTTGAGTAAGTTGTAGTATGATGACAATGCCTAAATACCGGTGTTTCAGATAGATTGCATTACTGTATTATTAATGTGAAGGAATGCCTCACAAGTAATTGTGTAATCGGTAAAGTTCACACAAGTGTCCCATTTCCAACATCCAGTAAAACAGATGGGTATCTCGGAAAAAACATTATTATGGCAAGCGGCATTATTACCGTCACTCGTCTCCAAGGTTTTATAACATTAACGTTAGCCCATTTAACTGCAGAAAAATGGAACACAAAAAAGCATTCCTTTGTCAAGTTCGTCCTTTTTAACCTACATGATTTTTTCAAAAGTCACTGCTCGATGACATTTCTGCTGACATGGGTCATAAAAAACACGAATTGAATTACAGTGCAATGTATTTTGTAGATGAGGCCACACGATTAAATCTTATTCCTTCATAATGTATTTCTACCTGGAAATATATATATTGTTAAAGGCAACATTCGTGCATAGTTGGCCTATGGCGTTTACACGCAACATTTGATTCAATACCATAAGGGCTTTCCCCTGTAACGATTTTTGTGTAAGATATTTTGGTCTTTCTCGGCAAACAGACGACCGCGAAATTGCTTCCGTCTCAATTTAACATAGTCTGCTGAATATGCGTATTTTTACTGCTGAAAGAGATCGGTTATTTTACATTTGTTCAAAATTATTTTAAAGTGAAATATGTATACAATGTTATTCGCATGTAGTGTACTATTGATATAATGATGTATGACAGCGAAGAATGATATTATTTTTCTCTATCCCTTTGTTTGGAAATGTAAGATTCACCAGTACTTGACTATATGTAGGTATGTGATTGACCTTCTCTAAGATGAGACACAACCTATATACTTAGAATAGCTATACAAACAAAATAACTACAGTTAAGTATTACTTTTAGTTCAAGAATTGCATGGAATTTGAAGAGCGTAAATAGCATAAATGCCAACATCGATTATTGTATAACGTTCATGTATTTTTGTAGTGTATATTACTGTATCATGGCATTCCATGCGCATTTATACACTTATCAACACCTCAAAATCAGAAGCATTCAGTTATATTTGTCATGTTTTAATATATGTTCTCAGTAACGATTAAAGCAGTAAATTTAAAGACAAAATCAAACTGAAATTTTCATAATAATTGAAGCGATGGAAACCAAATGAACCCCTACAGACAGCCGATAACGAAACTGAATGAAAATAATGACTTGCGGTAGGCCTACTGTTGATCCTTTATGCGTTAAATGTTGTTTGTATCTTTCGAGAACCTGTTATAATCAATAAATAAACAGAACGAAGGCCCTCTATATCTACATTGTATATAACTTAGGGGTTTACTGTTTTGGCATGTACAATAATTATTTCTTTGTACTCTGAAAACGTTATGTACAGATAAATATCAAACTCCTGACTATTGAAAAAGTTTCGCACCACCAGTCAAAGCACGTGAAAGACATTCGTATTAGAAAATTACAGGAAATTTATCACTCATAATCATTCACGTCATTAAGTTTATGTGCAACTACATGTGTATACAATTGAACTGTGTAAACGTGTCATCGTTTGTAAAACCCGCGGTTACAAAACAATATTATACATGTACCTCTCAAACGGACGAGCCGATATCGTTAAAACAATCGTCAAAGTGACCCTTAACGAAATTATAAATGAATAAATATACAAAGAGTTGAATCGAAACCAAACAGACGACTCAAGTGTTGAAAAGCCTGTCAACATCAAATACAACTCTAGGCACTGATGAGAATGTCAAATAAAAAAGCGTTTGGGGGATAATTCAACAGAATACCTCTCAATGTTGTTGATCAAAGAGGCTTGTTTCTTAATTTTTACATGGGAAGTCAGTTTGCAATCATTCTGTTTACTATTCTGTCCTAATTATTATTCCAGATCGTGTCGTTGGATATCGATATTTCGGTCCAGATGTTCAATATTCCAGGGTTGTTTATCATTGTACATAGAAACCTGTCGTGAAAAATATCTACAAAATATATTCAACGGTCGTGTCTGCTGTTATCCTTGAGATACGATGTATGATGTATTTTACATGTATTCAGGGAGGTACATAACCACTCTCTGACACAAAATATACCTAACAAGTCGTTTTCGTTGCGTGCACACCTTCGCTGGAAGGTCAATATTAAGTTCCGCGGAAGATAATCTATAAAATAAAACATTAATCTATTTTTCCCAAACAAATTGCCTTTGTTATAGATTCTGGACCAGTAATATATATCTATATAGATACTGTATACACTAAATTTTAAACATTCAGATAGATTTTCTGTGAAATAATACCATTGGATTATTGTACAAAAGATACACGAGGGAAAAGCGCCTGTTACTACTTTTTTTCAAAAGGAAATTGCCCAAACCTCCAGTGTTGTTTAGAGAGAAGAAGATTACTACTTTTCCTCCGGTTACCTATAAATTAATGTCAATTTATACATGCTGTGTGATATCAGTAAAACTATTTACTATTCGAATCATTGGAAAACTTTGCCAATATTGTGCTTTAAAACTTCTTTTATACGATATAACTTTGATGTTGATATATTGAACAGTAGAATTCAAAATTTTGTGAGGACTCCGGCACAGAAGCCGATACATACGGCTGATGATGACGAATCGTGAATTCACTGATTTCATTTTCTCTCTTGTATACCAAATAGAAATCTACAGATTTTTTATATGACGTTATCTGAACCTGAGAGGCAGTGTATGTATTACCTAATCAATGCTTATGACAATGGTTATCAAAAAGGGGCATGCACTGATTAAAGCCCCTTTCCAAGAAAGGTGAACGCTGGTACAAATACATGGTTGTGAAATATGCTGACGCGTATTTCGTGAAAAATACGTCCAAATCAAAGAAGAAATTATCGAGTTTCTGGTTTATAGTATAGTTGTCGACGTTGGTGGTAAGTTCTTCCAACATTCTTCAGCATTGTCATAATGATCAATGGCTTGACATTGTTTCCATGACATATAAAATATTGTACTTTTTCTTCGGTATCTACTCAACATAATTGCACAAAAAACATTCAAACAGCGGTGAATCATTTTATTAATTACAAACTTGATACAAGTTTGAAACAAATATATAACATTTATATCGGTTATCATAAAGTATTAATAACCAAACTCCCTTGGATGGCCAACTCCTTTCGTTCAAGCGTATAGTTCGAAGTTCACTCGTAAACCAAGTCGATGTTACCAGCCAGATCGCTCATCTTATCCTTGTAGACCTTATCAAATCTTTCGTTCTGCGCCACTGTGAGCATGGTCTTCCATTCTCCAATGACCCCTGTATTATAAATAACAAGATAAAAATTATATACAGGTATGAGGTCGAATACGTTCACGTCAAAATTTAGATTCATATCTGTGACCTAATTGATAATCATGTCAATGGCGAGAAGCTTGGCTCTAATTCTACAGGTAACACTAAAACAACTATCAAAAATTACCAACATGTCAACATAAGAATCATCCAAACTCAAATTACACAACACTAGGGCAAAATCTGGATAAAAGAAATATTTACAAGGAGACTCCTGAAAAAGTACATGGAGAATAAGACCAAGTGTCCCGGAAGAGTAAGCGTCTTCTGCTTCATCGACGACACCCGCCATGTAGACCTTGGTCAATCCAAGTAAGTGTCACTTTCTCAAATATATATATATATATAATATATATTTAAGTCTTTATACACTTGTTGATAATTATGGACGTTACGTGACGCTACCCAAATCGATACCGTGCCCGAATTGATACACTTTACGGCAAAAAGTATCTGTCAAGCATTGCGAATGAAATATATGAAGTGTTTTTTTTAACTTTAAAATGTATATTTCAATGGAATAATTTTCATACGTGTATATTTCAGAGATACCTATATAAAGCCTAATTTCAGTGTAATAAGATTTAATGAAGGTTCCAATTTCTGATTACGAAATCGAACTCCAGAATGCCTTGAAGAAAGACGAGTGCTTGTACTCCTGCACTACCAAACCATCTGCCACTGCACTACCCAACCATCTACTCCTGCACTACCCAACCATCCTTTATAATATCAATATGTGTTTACCTTTCTTATATATTGGCATTCGTCCGTTGTCTCCAAGATGTCTCCATAACTCACTTTCACCAGCACTCGTTGTATGTTCTTTCTTCAGATTGTCAAATCCAACAGCTTGTTCTACCTTTTTCAAGAAGCTTTCCTCGCGATCGACTTCTAAAAACTTTGCTATCCGCACGATATTCTTGTAGAGATTCTGTTAAAACAGGCAAAATAGTGAAATCCTAACTGAACAATCTGAAAACCAATAATATTAAGATCAAGCGATGAAAAGGCAAACTAAAAAGGAAAAAGAAATTTTATGCTTGTCAATTTTTTTTTAAAAATAAAACAATCGGTGTAGTTTCCATTTCAATTCGGTTATGATTTTATCACTGAAACAGACCGCGCTGTATTTAACATTCAAAGCTTGAATTGAAA